GAGCAGCTCCTGTATCCATATCATTTGCAATATGTGAAGGGTCTTTCGCTCTCTGATCACTCACCATGGAAGAACTTTTGCCAATGGTTTATTGCACAAACTGCAGATCCATTGTTTGTCTCTTCAGTCTTGTTTATAGATGAGGCAAAATTGAGGAGTGATGGAATAACAAATTTACACAACCAATATTTGTGGGTGGATTGGAATCCCCATGGTATGATACAGCCTAGATAACAGCATCAGTTTATGATTAATGTATGGGCTAGAATTGTAGGTCACTGTCTGGTAGGTGCATATGTTCTCCCAGCACATCTTAGAGGAGCTCTCTACAGGGACTTTATTTCAAACACAGTTCCAGACTTGCTAGAGGATGTACCCTTGCTAATATGAAGATGCATGTGGCTCATGTATGATGGGGCCCCAGCACATTTTAGTCATATTGTTTGTGATGCACTGGCTAACATCTACCATGAAAGATGGCTAGGTAAGGGAGGATGTGTTCAATGATCTGGCCAGTGCATGTAGAAGCAAGCAGAGGACATTTTGAATATTTGTTATGAGTTGCTGTGTTGAGATACAATGATGGGCTTTTGGATATATGTTTATATGAACATTTTACCTTGTTTTGGTGTCAGGAACTCACCTCTAAAGTTTGTAAAAGTATTTTTGATACACCCTGTATATATCTATCTATCTATATATATATATACAGGGTGGCAATAAAGTTACTATACAATCACTATATGGGGAATTAACAAAGATTCCATTTTTGCAAAGAAACCGATAAATAGCGATGACCTCAATCAATTTATTCAAGATGCATTTGCAGACTTAAGCTGTCAGAACCATTTGTGTCATTACATTTGTTGAAGCATTCTCTCATGTTGTACTGAATGCATTGAAGCAGGTGGTCTGCAGTTCAAACAGTACTGGTAATTAATTTACTATTGTTTACCATAGCATTTTATTGTTATTAACCAGAATTAAGCAGAACCAGTTTAATAATAAATTTCTGGATTGTTGATTAATTGCTTTGTCTTAATTGTTATTGTAAGTAACTGTATAGTGACTTGATTGCCACCCTCTGTGTGTGCATGTGTGTGTGTCAAAATTCAGATACAACTGAAATATGTATCTGCAAAAGAAGAATATGAATAAAGAAATAAGGAAAACTTATCTTAGCTGATGCTATTCATCTTCTGGTAGGTTTTATCAAGACAAATGTAACAATTTTATTTTGCAATAAGTATTTATAACAATAACATGTGGTATGAAATGATGATGATGTGATGTAATTGATAATGATGATGATGATGTGATGTAATTAATAACGCTGGTCAACATTTTTTTTCAACCCAAATGTTGTTGGGCAATGGACACATGTTTCTGGGCTATTTTTTCACGCTGAATCTGAAAATCAAGTCTATTTTGCCCCATCACATCATATTTCCTCAGTACAGATAATTTCTATTTTTCTTAAATAGGCCAAAATATCCATTTAACAGTGATATGTCAGGGCCAAGTAGAGCCAACCTTAAATGTTTTCAGGTTAGAATGACTTATTATAAAAGTAAAAGTATCCCAATAACTTAAAGAATGCATTTTCATCATTTCATTCCAGAAAAAGTTTTCAGAAAAATCTCACCCAAAATTAAATTAAGGCAAATATGTGTCATCAAATTTTAAATCAAAACAAAGAAAATACAAAGGAATGAAGAATGCATCCATTTTTGTTCATACAAATCACTTTTCAACTGTGTTAATAAGCACCATGTCTAACTGCCCTGTATAATTTTTTTAGTCAGACAAGTGGTGGTGTTGGTTGGGGATGGGTAAGAAAAGTGCCTTGTTGATTATGCCTTTCTGTTATTTGGTGGCTATTTTAAGCACTGATAAAGAAAATTCTAATCTTGATAGTCTCAAATACACTTGCCCAACACCCTAACAACCCTCATTTATCAATGTTCCTATGCATGTTATACAGAGACTGCATGACAATACCAGACCTCTGTGAATTCAAGTGATATGATAAAATCTTATGATGGTTTCAGGCTTAAAGTGAAAATTACTAATAAAAACTAAAATTGCTGTTCTTGAATGACTTCTTAAGAGCTTCTTCTATGAAAAGTAGAGAAGAAACACAAAGTTTAAACAAGCTAAGAACATTGAGGACACAAAAACATTTTCCAGTGAGATATCTCTCATAAAATCAAGAATTTTCAGGTCAGCTTATCTAAACAGAAATACCTTAGAATTCATCTTGAAAGTTATTTGGATACTTTTTCTTGAGTGATAAATCATTTTGATATGAAACAAAATGTTTCGACTATGTCATTTGTATATTTAAGCTGTGGCATATCCTCGTGAATTAGGCATTTTGGCCTATTTTAAGCAAAAGAGTAATTATCTGTACTGAGAAAACATCATGTGAGGGGGGAAAAAACAGAATTGGTTTCATTTTCATTTTTCCTTTTCTTATTTTCATCTTTTGAAGCTCTACTCAAATAAGTGGTTGAGTCTAACAACATAAAATGTATATTCTTTATTTTCATAGGCCTTAAGATTTTGGCCAGCAGTGTATAATAGTTTATACATTCCGACCAAAAATTCAACCTTTAAAATTGACGTAAGGACATTAGAAATTTGATGCTCTATCATATAGACAAGATGAAGGGGAATGAATGTTTTATATTGACATTATAATTATTTACAGTTCTACTGGGACAAAATAATGCAATGCACCAAAGGTTGAGCATAATTCACTGCTGGGATGTACATCAGTAATGGTGGGGTCAGCTGGATGTGATTGTATGATGTTGAAAGACCCAAAACTATCCTACGAACCCAATATTAACATCACTGATAATGCAATTTAAGCACATCTTTGTAATGTATAGTGAATATCTCTTGGAGTTTATACAAATGATTTAAAAAATTGGAGGAACTTTTTTTTCAAATCCTAACATAATTAATGTTATGGGATCTTACCCATAATAATAATAATGAACTATTCCATACTTAATAAATACTGCGCCTGAGGAGTAGGCAAGGAGTGAGTCAGTCAGTAGTTCAAGTCGAGTCAAGAGTCGAGTCAGAAGCAGTCTGAAAGAGAGTTGCGTTCAAACAATTACTGCAAGACATTGGAATAGTGATACTGGTCGAGACTACATTGTTCACTTCTACTTCTCTGTATATATTCCTGTTTATAATATATCTGTGTTATTCCATACCTGTGTTCGAGTTCTTCTTTATTGGTTCTACCTTGGACTATCACCGTGGTACAAGGAACCGGACCATAACAATTAAAATCAAGAAAATTAAGTTAACTGCAATCCTAATCTTACTTGCTCAATTAATCAGTTTTCTGGGGTTATGAGAATTTTAAGTCTTCTTTTTTCTGTTAAAATAAAGCAAGACCACTTCTATAAATGAAAGGGGAAAGGAAAAATGAGGTGGATAATTTTGAATGTTGAATTTTTCCCCCATTTATTAAAGTTTATGTGTTCCCCTCCATCTCAATGGAGTTTTCTGGAAAGGAACAAAATTTTAAAAATTGTAATCTAAAATTTTCCTTTGTATAACCAAATATGGAAAATTTCAGACCAAGTGAATCTTTCTTAGGCCTTTTCAGCTATACTAACATTAATAAATTTAGCACTTGGAATCCAGAATTTGGTAATACCGTAACACTGTATCTTCATCCCACTGGACCCACGCACTCCACAAGACTGGCTGTTGGTCCAGTATGGTCCAGTATTACAGGTTAGACACAAGTCTCTGGTTCCCACTGTCAATTCGAAGCCACCCTCCAGCCATGTTGTGATTGTTTTGATCCTGGAGAATGGTCCACTAGCAACTTTGTTGGGTGAGAAAAATAAATATAACCAAGTCGATTCGATTTTGAAAGGACAAATTTTTTTTTATATATATATATAAAAGTAAACACACAAAAAAATAATTCGATGTTCCCATTCTCAGTAGTAGTTATAGTAGTAGTAGTAGTAGTATTAGTAGTAACAGGAGTAGTGGTACTTAGATGTTAGGGACAGTATTTCACCATCAGATTCAGTAACACACAGCAGACACTTCCTTTTCAATCTCTGACATTTCTCTACTCAGTTCAACTGCATTTGAAGACAGACAAACAAAAATGTCTCCTCTGGTTGGCTTGCCTCTTTATCAAGGGAATTGGCCTCACGTGTCCCAGACTGGTGATGTCTCTATTTTTCTAATGAGAACATACTGACATACTACCAAAGTACAACTTCACTCCTCTGAGAATAAACAATTTACTTTTTCATTGATTGGTTTCCAAGGTTTGCAAGATGCTATTGTTTATCACCTCACTATTAATTATTCTGCCACTCTTTGTAAACTACAGATATTCTTGTTTTAAAAATAAATTCTAGATCAAAACATCCTTAATTTTAACTTCGATTCTTATAGTGTCAAAATCCATTTCTTTTTTTAAAAGTTCCAAATTATTATTGTTCCAGCAATTTTAGTAATCTGATATCCATTGTAGACTTACAAAAAGATTGTATTTCATGTTCTAGATTAACTTTGTGTAACATTTACATTTCAAAGTCTTTACAGCATATTAACATCCTGGTTATTCAAAAACACCTCTCTTTCACTTGGTGTTTTCTGTTTTACAGCATATCCTCCTTTATTATCATTATTATTATTTCAGGGGTGATATCCCCCCTTCCACAATACCACATTATACTGAAACGCTCATATCTGGGGTTAGTACTTCTGTACATTTTATCTTTTAAGATCTAATATTAAAACCATTTTCTGTTTCTCCCTACCAGATAAATTTCTTTTCTATTCAAATAAAATTGTTTGTAAAAAACATCATAAAAGAACAATAAAGTTACTTCAACTGAAAGACATTGTAACGAGCATGCGCGGAAACGTCCTCGAACTGCGTGTGTGTGTTGTCGCCGGACACACCTTGGAGTACCATAATGGACTCGACCGAGGACTATAAGAAGATGCGCGAGTCGTTTGGCGTCTTTTCTTGGGTGACAGCAGCCGTTGCGGTCAGTCGTCCGTCGGCAGCAGTTGTGGGTGCCGTTTTGCTCGTTTGCTGTCGTAAAGTTTGGTTCGCAAGAAGGCGTTCGTTTTTTGGTTCGCAAGAAGGCGTTCGTCTTTTGTGTCACAAGAAGTTGTTTCCCCCCACCCCCGTTTTCTCGCACAAGCTATTTCGGCATGATGGCCTTCGACCCGAAGCTGATACCACGACGGAAGCGATTCTGGACAGTCGGTAGTGGAATGGTTGGAGAAGGCGGAACTAATATGTCAGTTGAGCGGTGTGAAGCGAATCGAGTGTGTTATCCCGATTCGTTTGGCAGGCGGCGCATATGCTGTGTACCAGCAATTGAGTGAGGAGAAGCGCGCAGACTTCAATTGTGTTAAGAAGGCGTTATACACAGCTTTCGCCTTAGATCCCTTCTCCGCGTGGAAGCAGTTTGCTGCACGTCACCTTCATCCAGGGGAGACGGTCGGCGTCTTTTTGGCAGAACTGCGCAGACTCGCGGTTCTGTTTTTTGGTGGCGTATCGGAAAAGTATTTGCAGTGTGTATTCGTTACTGGTTTGCCTGAGCATGCAGAGGAGCTTTTAAGAGCGTCATCCCAGATGAAAGACCTGGATTTGTCAGATGTGTTGGCACGAGCTCGCGCTGTTTTGAAGAAGTGCACTGGTCCTACGGAGCAGGCCGCAATGGCTGCACAGTTGAAGGAAACAGATGTGCACACGAGGTGCTATAAATGCGATGGAGTCAATCATAGGGCGAGCGATTGTCTCCTGGGTCGTGAACCATCCAAAGGTGTTGGTACCAAGCATCGACGGACCATCACTTGATATCGATGTCATCGGAAAGGGCATATTGCTCGGTGTTGTCCGGGAAAGGGGCAAGGGGTCGAGAATTCAGCGACAATCTCCTCCCCAAAACTGTTGTAAATGGCGCATTACCTGTAGTGACAGTTCGCATCAATGGAATACCACGTATAGCTCTGGTGGATACAGGATGCACACAGTCATTAGTCCGCAAGTCATGCTGTCGTGCATGGACAAGAAAATCAACACGCGTGCTTACAGTAGACGGAGGCACACTTGACTGCTGTGGAATTGGAGTGGTACAAGTTAGTGTTGGTGCAAAACCGCCCATCGCTATGGAAGCCCTGGTCGTGGACGGAGACCTGCTTGGATTTGACTTCCTGCTTGGACTAGACGCCATCAAACAGGTGGGAGGAATATCTGTAACTGGCACCGGTCAGGTGAAGTTTCCGCAGTGTGTCGAACCAGTCGTTGCTGCCATCACCATAACCAAGCCCGACTTTAAAGTAGAATTCGATGAGACCACTCGGAGGTGGACCGCATCTTGGAAATGGGCTGGCAACCAACCTCCGGGTACGTTAAGAAATAGACTGGCAGAATATCCAGCTCCTGCACAAATTCGGGAGGAGTATGATCGGGAACTCCAGATTTGGATAGATAATGGCTGGCTGCTTTCTTACCCGGAGGAGGAGCTCGGACCCCCAAAGGGTTTAATCCCCCTCATGGCCATTCTGCAGGAAAACAAACAGAAGGTTCGGCCCGTTATGGACTATCGGGAACTCAATGAATACGTTGATGCGTACGCGGCCAACGCAGATGTTTGTTCTCAAAAATTACGGGAATGGCGTCAGCAAGGACCAAATGCTGCAGTACTGGACCTACGCCGGGCTTATCTGCAGGTACACATCAACAAGTCCCTTTGGCCATTCCAAACAGTGGAGATTAAGGGACAAAGGTATTGTCTAACCCGCTTAGGATTTGGGCTCAATGTTGCCCCTTTAATCATGCGTGCCATTGTTAATACCGTCTTGAGCCAGGACGAGATCGTCAACGCAGCTTCCTCCTCTTATATTGACGACGTTTTTGTTAATGAGAGTGTGTTTTCTGTGGTCTGCGTCAAGGAACATTTGGAGCAGTTTGGTCTGTCAAGTAAGACCCCGGAGCGGCTAAGAATTGGCACACCTGTGTTGGGATTGCATGTCTGGGAGGAGCAAGGAAAACTGCGATGGTGTCGTGGATGTGAACTTCCGGTAGTCCCCGATAAACTTACCCGCCGAATTGTCTTCCCGCTGTGCGGAAAGTTGACTGGCTATTTTCCTGTATGCGGTTGGTTACGTGTCGCCACAGCATTTGTGAAGCGGAGGGCAAACACTGTTACCACTGGGTGGGACGATAAAGTGCAGGACCCTTTTCTAGCCCAGATGATCGACAACATTTTTAAGAGACTAGCCCAGGACGATCCAGTGAAAGGTGACTGGTGCATCAGTGAGCAAAATGTAACCGTGTGGGTAGATGCAAGCTCCTTAGCCACCGGTGTGGTTGTGGAGAGCAATGGCGCCGTGGCAGAAGACGCAAGCTGGCTCCGACCGGTGCACGAAGACAAGCACATCAACTTAGCTGAGCTCGATGCTGTGTTGCGAGGGGTCAACCTTGCATTACAATGGAAGGCCACAACCATTCATTTACGGACAGACTCAGCATGTGTGCATCGCTGGGTATCTGACACTCTGTCCGGGCGGACGAGAGTGCGCACCAAGGCAGCCTCCGAGATGCTAATTAGACGTCGGCTAGCAACACTCCAAGAGTTGGCCTTAGAATACGAGCTGGACATTGATGTAGAGCTTGTCAAGTCGTGCATGAATCGAGCCGACCAACTTACTAGAGTGCCGCAGTGATGGTTAAATGAAATGCTCAAAATGACGGAACCCAGAGAACCTATGTGCGCTGTGGCTGAAAAACAAGATGTTGCTCAAGTACGAGCCAATCATCAATCCAGCGGACACCCTGGTGTGAAGAGAACACTCTATTTTGTGAAGTTGATCAACCCAAGAGTAACAAAAGCTGATGTGCGAGCAGTGGTTAGGTGATGCAAGGAATGCCAGTCAATCGACCCGGCCCCTGTGCGTTTGCAACCGGGCAGGCTTGATGTCGCGGAAAATTGGCACAGGGTTGCGATGGATGTAACCCATTTCGGACATGTATATTGGCACAATGTTACCCCAAAGGACAATAAAACAGCTTCAACTGCACCGGCGAATGCAACCTACACTTGCAGGGTCCGCATTAAGGGTATCGACGCAGCTTTGGTGCGTGACAACACGGTTGCCAGGAGAGACTGTCTGGATGAAAAATCCGCATGGAAGGTGTACGACACAGTTCAGCAAGGGTACGGTGATACAAATTAATAGCCCACACTCCATCTCTATTGATGGAATACCGCGCCACATAAAAGATGTGCGACCAGCGTGCGGGAAGGATTATTCCGTCAGCACCCACGCTAGTTCTGATGATGATGATGATGAAGCCCCGATGGTTTATATAAAATCACAGGAAGAGCCCACCTCAGAGAGTAGCGCGCTTGATGAACCTATGCGGAATGAACTCAGCGAGACGCCTGAAGAGATCACCACTGAGGAAGCGCTTGAGACCATACCACTGAGACGGAGCACCAGGCAGAAACGGCCTGCCCTACATTGCCATTTGTGTGATCTAGAGATCAGAGAGGAGTGTAATGAGCATGCGCGGAAACGTCCTCGAACTGTGTGTGTGTGTTGTCGCCGGACACACCTTGGAGTACCATAATGGACTCGACCGAGGACTATAAGAAGAAGATGCGCGAGTCGTTTGGCGTCTTTTCTTGGGTGACAGCAGCCGTTGCGGTCAGTCGTCCGTCGGCAGCAGTTGTGGGTGCCGTTTTGCTCGTTTGCTGTCGTAAAGTTTGGTTCGCAAGAAGGCGTTCGTTTTTTTCGTTCGCAAGAAGGCGTTCGTCTTTTGTGCCACAAGAAGTTGTTTTTTCCCCCGTTTTCTCTCACAGACATTATTTGATTAATTCACTCATTTTTACAGCCTATCAACTCCTTGCAGGTTATTTAAAGCCAGAAAATATTTTTAGATTGTAAGAATTTTTGGGGTGATAATAATGGTTTAGTGATACAAGTCTTATTAATTAACCCATAGCTGGAAGGGAGATTGGCGGTGGATTCATACCTTTCCTGAGGGTATTTGTGCATAAGTGAATATAACAAAGCCAATGAGAAATGGAACTTGGATTGCCAATTAACAATTCCAAACCAATATATGTTACACCACCTGCACATCCAAGCTTACAGCACCTGGTATTCCCAAGTGGTCATCCATCTAGGTACTCAACAGGATTGACATTGCTTAACTTCAGTGTTCACACAGGAAGCAGTGCTTCAAAGTGATATGGCCTGTAAAACATTAGAAATATTTATTAAAATGATGATATTCACATTGTGAATTACATTGATGAGAATGTTGATGGCAGATTCAGAAGGGAAACATGAAATATTAGACAAGGTAGTCAAGGAAATTGTGAAGGAAGGACTGGCCATTAATTGTAAGAAGCCCAAGATATGCATTATGCATCAGAGATATCAAAATTAAACAAATTCAGATAATTCCCTTGGTGTCAGTGTTAATATTGTGCATCATGAAAGCGTGTCACTGAAATTTAAACGCTCTTCAGAAAAGTGAAGGACACTATTCCAAAACTGATTTAGGTACAAAAGGGCTGAAAAATAGCAAAAAACAAAGACAGGAGGGCTTCTCTGTTATGTTTATTCTATTATAGAACAGAGGAAGCTGTACAATTCCATCACAAATGAAGAGAAGATGTTAGGCAGCCAAAATTTAGTTCTACCAATAAATGTGAAGAATGTCATGGACACAGCATACCAACAATTAGGAACTATCTACGCTATTTACATTGTTCAGACTGTTGTCCTCATCTTTATTGCCATATTCATGAGGTTTCAGCTGTTGTATGCTCTGGCCTTCTTCAGGTGATATATGTTGAAATGCTTTTTCTGGGTATCTCAGTTTCAGTTATTAACCTTTAGTGACTCAACTCTCCAAGTTTGTGTTTACCTCTACTGTGGCCAGGTATTGAACTCACAACTCTTTAGGTCAAATCACTGGATTACTTTAATCAATGCTTTTATCCACTGGGCCATGTTGTGAATATGGCAATAAAGTCCGAACAATGTAAATAGTGTAAATAGTTACAACTCAGAAATAGAGACAGATCCTGAAGAAGATCAAAGCATACAATGGCCAAAACGGAAATATGGCAATAAAGCTGAGAACAACAGTCTGAACGATGTAAATAGTGTAAATAATTACAATACGTCATTTCAGGAATATAGACAGAAATCAAAACAATTAGGAAGTTTTAAGAATAGGGAATAGAAAGAAACTGTTTATGATAACTGAAATTTTGGGGATAGATAATTATGGAGGATGGTTTGGAGAATTTAACACTCAGAGGAGATGTCAAAGGTAAGAGAAAAAACATCAAGTAACTTATTTAACAAGTTTATAGAAATGGATGGAGAAACAAATATCACAAAGAGAAAATGGGTAATCAAGGAGCATGCATTAATGAGATTAAAAGACAGGCAGGAAGCAGGGGAGAGCCATAATCTTCTCTATCCTGAAGGGAAATGACACAAAGGGAGTGTTATCAACACATTTTAATTTATTATATTATTTTTTTTTAATCAATTCACCTCAAGCAAGGCAATAATGCCACTAAGACGCAAGGGGGTACTAGGAGCGAAAGAGAATGAAAAGAGTTTAGAAGGAACTGGAAACCCAATCCTAAACAGAAAACAAGGGATAAACATCTATTCCTGTTAATTTGCTAATATTTTCTTAATCCCTTGAAGGCATTAAAGCATCACGTTAATCCATGCTAATCTTCTCGCATCATCTTTTGCCATGAATAGCAGTAAACTACTTGTCTATCACTTGATGAAGGATAGAAAGCACAATAATCAAAACATTGTGATAACAACAACAAAGATGAGGACAATAGCCCACTTGTAAATAGTGTAAAATAATGATCTCTCTTGTTGCAAATTTTAGTTCTTGTTTATTTGTTCATCCCTTGATAATTTAACAGTCTTCATCATTTAAATACTTGAATATTTTAATTTATGGCTACAATTCATCATAAATTAAGCACTTACAGTTTGTAAATGTTTATTTATAAGAATATTTAAAAGATTAGGCTTTTTGAAGGGTAGGCAACTTTTTGGAGATAGCAGGCCAGAAAGCTATGCAACGTCTCAGAAGATGAGGCATTATATTCAATGCACTATAATAAAGTGTCTTGACCTCAGACTGCCCCATCCAGAAGGCTGCCTTGGTCGGGAGGTTTAAAGAAAAAAAACAATGGAATTAATGTTATATTATTTAAACAAGATTCCTTATTTCACTACAGGAATAACAGGATAACAACTAATGCAACAAAAAATGCAAAATCCTTACTACAAACTAAATAAAGTTAGAAATGGTAAATTATTTAGCGAGACACTTGTTTCCACTCATTGTTCAATAACATCAGGTAAAATATTTGTTGATGACAAGAGCAAAACATCCTCCAGGTGGTTATCACCCAACCTTGTTCTTAAATGACTTTTAGTATATTTCAAAAAAAGTAGTTCACACGCATATGTACTGCCAAATAAAGATACCATCATTTTTGCATTATTCAATAGGCTTTATATTTTCTGCTAGGCAAAACATATTCAACATATTAGATTTGGAATTAAATTTTGATTTAAAAATGCTGTTGCATTGCAAGTCAGTTAACTTCAACTGATATTATTCTGCCACTTGCACCACAAATTAATTATATAATTAATGTCTAGGGATTAAGTTGGTAGGTCAGACAAAAATCATTCATGGACTGGGGTCAGTGGCTGGTGACCCTTGGTCTAACCAATAGTCAACTGTTAGTGATAAAAAGAGGAATTTAAATAATTTGCTTTGGAATGTCTAAGAATCTAAGCCAAACAAGATATTCTATTTTCAAAGATTTTACAGATTTTGTAAATGGGATTAAAAAATGTATCCAATTTCTTACTTGCCTGTTGATTTTCTCAAAGACAGACAAAAGGGTGCAAGTAATTCTGAAAAATATTAATCCCCAGGTTATGGTAAGCATAAATATATTACATAATTTATGCTATTATTTGACTTGTTAGTATATATGGCTATTACACTTTTCTACTGAGGATAAAAGTGTAGTATCTGCATAAACTACATTTTATCTCTCAATTGTGTTTCTCTCTTCAGACAGAACACACAAAATAATCACTGAGGGATGTCTGATCCCCGGGAGCAGCAACTCCTTCATTGCACCAAAGAGTGAAGGTTAATAGACTATCAGTGCCAGTATGATGTTGGTTGCAGGGATCGGGCAATTTTTGGATTTGGCATATATGCACGTGCTTGGTATCTTCACTTTAAACTGGCCTTGTGCCATATCCCATCACCGTGAGGGAGTAGAGTAAATATCAAGTGTAGTGTCTGCCTTTCTGATGTTACATTCACCTGTAACATTCATGCTTTTCTACCTCTAGATCAGAGTATAGTATCTGTTCAGTACTTGACCATTTTAAACTGGAATGATTTTCTGATCACTGCAGCCGCAGTAGAAGTGGTGTGTGCTGGGCAAGATAGCCTGACAGAGTCCAATCCTCTCCAGGCTGGTTTGAATTCAAAGTTTTTCCTTCTAGGTTGGCTGCCAACCAAAGCTATAGAACCCAGTCTGTCCTACTTTTTTACCCATAGCAAAGGTATTAGCACATATGTGAATGAAATGAACTTGACTGGAATTTGAACTTGGCTCTCTGATTCCTCATTCCAAGCCGCTATCCATTACTCCACCGTGCCTCCTCAAGATATTAAGTGAGAAAAGAGGAGAGGGGGAAAGTGTAGTGAAAGATAAAAAGTTGGAGAAAAATGAAAAGAAAACCAGATGAAAGGAAGAAATAAATATGGATACAGATAAGGAGTGAGAGATAATAAAGCCAAAGACATAGACAGGCTTGCTAGTTTGATATCAAGAAACAATGAGTGAAAGTTTCAAAGGCAGATAGGGATGGAAAAGCATCAAAATTGCAATATATTGAAATTCTTTATGAAGAGATAGAGTAAAAGAAAGAAAAGAGAGGAAGTAGTTGAAAATATTTGTGAATTTCTCTTTCCTTTTTTGTATGTGAAATTAATCCCTGTTTGTATAACATTTAAAAATATAAAGATTGAATGGGATAAGAAGAAGAATGAGAAGATACAGACAATGTGTGAGAGACGAGCGGAGGCTTAAGAGTAATCTTAGTGGAATGCCCAGCTAATTAGAAATATTAATAGTTTTCTTTGTTAATATTCTTAAAGAAAAGATACACTTAAACAAAGTTTACAAAAATTATGACTGAATGTTTTATGCAAGATTCTTCAAAAGCCATATTTATTAAATAATAAATTTCTGGTATTCCATTGCTAATAACAGGCATTTTCAAAATGGAAAATAATTTCTATATTCTCTCTAACCAGATTGGGTGGGAGAGACAATGGCAGCAAGCACTTAATTTTGTCACCACAGGTCAATCTCTTAGATCACAGTGTCAGTCAAGGGTTCTAAATAAAGAATAACAATCAGTGATAAAAAAAATGATGCTACTAACCAGCTCAGAGGGTTAACTACAACTAATAAAGTCATCAGAGAGAGAGAGAGAGAGAGAGAGTTGTTTTTATGCTTGATTCTTTTGAGTGACTAATCAGATGACTGTCGCTTTCCTCTGCTACAGTTTTTGCCTTTACCACTTTGAAATTGCCCTGAACTTTTGTAAGAGTTTCATTTGCTGCACCAGAAAATACCTAACTCCTGCAAGAGTCAGATTTGGAATGATGCTACCCATTCCTCACTGTCCAGCCTTGACAGAGTTCAAAAGTGCTTATGCGGCCTGGGTGGGTGGGGGTGGTTGAAGAATTATTCTCCACCCTGCAACTCTAACCCTCACAGATAAAATGTTGCTAGCCTTTCATTACTATATCGTAACTACTATTGCAGATGTTTGAATGAGTTGCATTCCCTAATTCTACCATTTCTGTCCTTCATGGATAGAAACAACCACGCCCTTTTCAGTCGGAAGGTGGGGGAATCATCCCCATCACCTTCGGGTTCCTTTGATAAAAAGTAAGTTCCACTCAGATGGAATCTTCTCCAGAACTGTTACTTTGTGGAACAACCTATTCCCCACCAAAAGGATGCTTCCCTGACAACTACAATATGGCCGCTTGATGCTAAATCTACTCATCCTCATAATAGTTTATTTCTTCCTTACAATCTCACTCAGTAACTCTCTACCTTGAGTGTCTCTTGGGCTTCGTATTGGGTGAAT